CCCAATCGCTCACTCTCTCCCTGCTCTCACTCATAATCTCCAGGTTGGGCAGGTCCCCTTTCAACCTAGTGTTCAGGTGACTGGCAACCCCAACCCATCTCTTGGGATACTGAGATTCAGGCCAACCTGCAAAGGCCGATACTATAAGGATGTGGGTGTGTTCTGGTCACCTAGCTAGTTATAGAAGTATAAAAACAAAGAATCAAAATCACAGTCTGCCTTTGTGTGGGGCTTCTCTCACCACGAGAGTCTCAGGCCTTGTTCTTAAGTGAAGGCTTTCGGCTAAGCAACAGGCACAGCCATAAACTGGGAAACCTACAGTCACCTCCTCACTCATCCCCACCAGTCACACTGAAACAAAGCAGCTTGGGGCTGTAAGAAAGGAGATCCAACCCATCGCCTCCAGATAGAGGGAAGAGCCTGAAAGGCTCAAAGAAAACACAGGCTAGTAGCTTTGTCTGGCAAGGAGCCACTTATCAGTACTTAGGGCTGTGAAATCCTCAGTTCTTTACTGTTTTGTCATTATGCTCCCCGTTTCTCATTTATTTATGAGCCACTTCTCAGTAGTTAGGGCTGTGAAATCCTCAATTCTTTACTGTTTTGTCATTATACTCCCCATTTCTCGATTGTTTCTCTGAAAGGCGTGTCTGGTTCTTTGATGGTTTTGGTCTGTCGTAGAATTAATTTTGCTGGGTATAAACCACTTAAGGTGGTGGATAAAATTAGACAGACAATCATGTTCCAATATGTTAGGGCTGGTTAGTTAAATTTCAGTAAAACGATTGGCTAAGGTATGGCTGAAAATATAACTGTGAAAGTTAGGAGCAAACAGGAAGTAAGTTGGAAGAAAGGAAAAAGGAAAGAAGATTTGTGCTTGCTGGGAGCTACCCCCAATAAACACTGAATTGTTTGCTCCTCCGGCATTCGAGTATTGCTGTTCTCTGTTCATGTGAGAGGGACAAGGGAAGTGGGAGGGTGAAGGGATGAGCCCAGGCCTGCCAATAGGGGAGAAGGGCAAAGGGGGCAACTGCCCTGAGGCCAGGTGATACAGAAGGGCCTGGAGCTCCTAGCTGCAGCTACAGAAGCAGTGGCAGCAGCTGGAGGCAGGAAAAGGGAATAAGGGAATTTGTGTGCGGCCATCTTGGTCTTGTTAACAAGAGAGCAAGAGGCTAAGTCTGTGGCCTGACAACACAAGATCTGTAATTAGACGCTGCCTTTGCCTCTCGCCTCCATAGGGAGATAAGGATAGAACGCTGACTCTGGCAGGGACCTTGAGATAAGGAGCATCTGGGTGGAACTAAATAACTGTTAGCCATTGGTGTTTGTAATGGGAAGGAGACTAATTGTTATTGTTATTATATTTATAGACAGTATATAAACTGCTTCATAATTGCTTGTATTCGAAGATCTGCTTGGGGGGGGGGGCTTCCCCCCTGTCCAAACCAGTTTTTCCCTTGCTGCAGCTCGTAATAAAACTGCCTCTGGCTACTTGTTGCTTACAAACTCAGAGTGAGGACTGAGTTTCTTCCACAGCCCTTTACATTTCTGCCAGAGCACCACGTGGCATGCTCTGGGCTGCTCTGAGGCCTGGCTGGGGGGAGAGAGGACATGGTGCAGTCCCAGCAGTGCTGAGGGCTGGCTGGGGGGCCTTAGCCCCTCCCCTTCCGCCTGAAGCCCTGCCCCTTCCAGGAGCACAGAGATGGGCTTCCCTCCCTGAAGCTCTGCAATTCTCTCTGCCTCCTTGGATAAGCTCTTTAACACCAACTTCTCCATCTCCACCCACTCTTTTTTCTCCACCCTTCTCTGGGTACCGGATCTAGTCCATCCTCTCCATCTCTGTCCATCCACACTGCCCAAACCAGTCACAGCACACACACTGCCTTAGTGCATTGCACTAACTCCACGCATGCCCATGCCCATATCCACTCCTCCCTTTTTCCCTTCTGCTACAGTCTGGAATCACTCGACACGTACGTTCTGGCTGGTGTTACACCGGCTTTCTAAATTGACTCCTGTCAGATTCTTGAACTGGTCACGGATGTTTTCTAGGGAAGGAAGCAGAAAGCCAGTGTTGGGGTCTCTCTTACAAGAATCAAATCTTTACAATAGGATCAAATATCATTATACTTCTGGGCCCAGAAATGAAACCAGGCAAAGTCCATCCAATGGCAGAGCTCATGCTAATGGCTAATAAAATTGGTTTATGGGGTCAAAGAAGGCAGCACCACTCCAGAGACAACTCTCCCCACCTATTATAGATTTGAAAATGTTTGTCTGTTTGTGCATCTGACTGTCAATCCATTTGTTCAAAAACTCCCTCCAACTGGTCAGAGCTAGGACCACCAAATTTGGTATGCAAGGTCAGGGTTTGGTTGTATCAGGACAATGGGATGTGCCTGGAATGCGACTGATTTTCACAAAATGGAAACCAGAAGTTACTCATCTCAATAGTAACTGATACTCTTGGAGATGAGTGTCCCCCTGGGTGCTTCATATTCGCAACAAGTCATTGATCCAAGATTTTAGAGCAGTGCTCCTGGGGCCACGCATGTGCACGTCTACGTTTGCGCACTCCTAGGTGGCAGGCATCATGCATGTGCAACATCCTCCTACACCCAGTTCCTTTTCTACCCTGGAACGGAGCCAGTGAGGCCAGAATTCCAAAGCAGAGGGGTGGAAAGGGAGGGTTGTGGAGTATCCAGGGGGACACTCATCTCAAAGAATGTCGGTTACTGTCGAGGTGAGTAACTTCCTCTTCAAGAGAGAGATGTCCCTGTGGGTGCTCCACATTAAGTGACTACACAGCTATTCTGTATTAGGGAGGTAGGGGACTTTGGATCTGGCAGAAATGGGTGGGAAGGACCACCTTCGCAAATTTCAGGTTGGAGAGAGGTCCCTGCATAAGTGCATGGTGCTTTGCAAAAATGTGGTCTGACGACCACGTAGCAGCTATACAAATGTCCCTTATGGATACTTTGCGAAGGAACGCTAGTGAGGTAGACATGGCTCTGCTGGAGTGCGCCTTAACACAATCTCAAGGGATCACATGTGATTGGGAGTAACAGAGCTTGATAAAGACAGAAATCCAGTGGGAGAGTCTCTCTGATCATAGAATCATAGAATCCTAGGTCTGGAAGAGACCTCAGGATGTTGAATCCAGCCCTCTTCCCAAAGCAGGACCAACCCCAACTAAATCATGCCAGCCAAAGAACTTTCTAAAGCTGGGACTTAAAACCTCTGGGGGTGAAGTTTCCACCTCCCAAGGTAACCCATTCCAGGGCTTCACCACCCTCCTAAAAAAATAGTTTTTCCTAATATCCAACCTAGATATCCCCCATGGAAACTTCAGACCATCGCTCCTCGTTCTCCCATCCATCGCTACAGAGAACAGCCTCTACCCAAATTCTTTGGAACCTCCCTTCAGTAGGTTGAAGGCAGCTATCAAATCCCCCTCTCTCTTCTCTTCTGGGGTATGTCTACACTACAAAGTTAATTCGAACTAACAGACGTTAGTGCGAATTAACTTTGATAGGCGCTACACATGCAAACCGCTAGTTCGAACTTAATTTGAACTAGCGCAGCACTTATTTGAACTAGTTAAACCTCATTCCACGAGGACTAAGTCTAATTCAAATTAAGTAGTTCGAATTAAGGGCTGTGTAGCCACTTAATTCGAACTAGTGGGAGCCTCCCCAGCTTGCCCTGGTGGCCACTCTGGGCACAACCAGGGAAACTCTTCTGCCCCCCTCCCGGCCCCGGAGCCCTTAAAGGGGCATGGTCTGGCTATGGTGCCTGTGCCAGGTGCAAGCCTGCTAGCCCCCAGCCAGCAGACCCTGCACCTGGCACGGCTCGGGCCAGCCACCCGATGCCACCCAGCACTCCCCCTCTTCCCGGGACCAGGCTGGCAGCTCCCAGGAGCTTTCCCAGGACCACAAGAGGTGGGCACCCGCCTGGTCCAGTGCAGACATCGTGGACCTCATCCACGACCTCCACACTAGGCACAGGAAAGCGGCC